ATGTATGCAACTAAATTAGAACTTTAGATCAGAATCGAAAAAATGTGATTTCGTTACAATTATTTAGCCGTCCTGTATGATTTCAAGTTTTGTTTTTGACGAAACTTTTTGCAAAGTCTCGATTTTCGTCAGAAAATCTTCATCTTCCGAAACCAAGAAATGAGTGATGTAACAAAATATTCATGGAAAAAATTATCATATAAGATCTTTGTAAAGGAAACAAATATCGTGCGCGGTGTTTAGTTACTCATCTATTTTTATTTGCTGATGGCAAAGAGAAATAATGAGCTAATACTTCTTTTTATTATCTGAATGTATTCACATTTTGATGTGATTTAGCCAATGAACTGCAACATTTTTACAGTTTTTCCAAGCCAATTCTTTTTCTAAACCTTTTATATCTCACATTCATGATTAAACTAGCAAAAGCAGCAGTATTTTGCCATTTTCATTATAAAAAAACTATTTTTTCACAAAATCGAAATGCCGTCTGTATACCTCAACAAACTTATGCTGTTGAATGCATATACAAAGAGCGCCTCGATTTTGTGCAAAAATAGTTTTTGATGATGAAAATGACAAAATACTGCTGCTTTTGCTAGTTTATGTTATTTTTCAAAACTTTTATCATGTCCACAAGCCTTTTTGGTCTTTTCTTCAACGTAGTTTTGTAGAGCTTTTCGAGCACTTTCGACTCCATTAAGAACTGTTTGTATTTGAAACCTTTTTGATTGTAAGAAAATGAAAATGAAAAAAGCAACACTTAAAAATTCTTAATTTTGCCCATAGTGTTTGTTAATTAATGGTTTCTTTAGCAAGTAGTTTACAATAGTTTTCGCCACTGTATTCTTATTACTCTCGTAATAGAATTTTATCAAGGACAGACGTTTCGTTATTTTATTGATAAAATTCTCGAGTATTGATTAATTTTCAATCGTACGCAGATGTTCAAGACAAATAAGTTACATTAACTAATTTTCAGGAGTTGTTCTCTTGCTAAGCGAATCGCGTTAACTATCTGGACAATTTTATAATTCTTGTTTCTTGTTCATCAAGTCACGAAACTCTGAATCGATAGTACTTGTATCGTATCACCGACAGAAAAATAAAATTCATTTAGAATCGTGCTTTTTTGTATTCAGCATACTCGATAACTCAGAAGATTTTCTATTTTTGACGAGGGTACTGTTAAAAGTTTAAGAAAAATTTTGAAACTAATATTATTTTCCCAAACTTTCGACAATACCCCTCGTCAAAAATAGAAAATCTCCTGGGTTATCGAGTGTGCTGAATATAAAAAAGCACTTTTCGAGAACTCTAAATGAACTTTTTTTTTCTTCTTCACGGTGACATGGATATGTCTAGTTAAACAAGGGGCGCAACTACAATTATTAGACTTTTGGGTCATTCTCCATAGAGTTAAAAGAATGAACGGGCCTAGGTGGGCCGACGGCTTTCTGCTTGGGTCACAAATCTTTTTAGACAGTTGGCATTTCTGGTACTGGCGTTTTGCCTGCTTTTCTTCAATGACAAAAAGATCCAAATATCGAAACATATGAAGCATTTTAAGCATCAATGCATAACTTTGTTGAAGTATACAGACGGCATTTCGATTTTGTGAAAAAATAGTTTTTTATGACGAAAATGGCAAAATACTGCTGCTTTCGCTAGTTTAATCATGAATGTGAGATATAAAAGGTTTAGAAAAAGAATTGGCTTGGAAAAACTGTAAAAATGTTGCAGTTCATTGGCTAAATCACATCAAAACAGAAGAAAAGAATTTAAAAACAAAAATAAAAAAAATTTCTTAAAAATAAAATCACCAAACAAAGCATTACAAAAAAAATGTGAATAGAGATGAAAAAATGTGCTTATTTCGTAAACAAAAATTATGGAGAGGCCAAAAAAGAGTAAGAGAAGCAGTGCAGTCCTTTCAAGAGTAAGTCTGAAAATGTGTCTTAAGACACGTTTTCAGTTTTTTAGACACAACATCGCAAGGATAGTAGATAGTTCTGCTAAGCAGATAGTGTGCAAATGCTATGAAAGTGAAGCGTGGAAACGTTATGAAATTAAAGTAAATTTTCTACAGTAATATACTTCTAACACTAAACAAGTTATTTGAATTCGAAATTGAGCTTTTTTTAACATTTCATGTATAAATCGTAGCAAAAGTAAAGAAATTAAGCGTATAATTTCGACTCAAATCATATGAAATCGTACGACACGATCACGTACAGTTTTTGCTGATTTTGTACGAATCATAGTGCACGATTTCATATGAAATACCGGACTGACATATAATCAGAACTGTACCAAAATCGTACTATAAGAAATCATAGGATCCTACAATACGAATCCTATCACTTACTTCTCGTACAATCTTAGTACGATTCTTCGACCTAGGTAAGCAGAAAGATGATTAAAATTTGTGTTCGAAAACGGCGTGGAAAAACGTTTAAGACTACTAATCAGTAATAGAAAGAACGAACAGCTATTTTTAGGTTTGAATCAAAATAGATTACAGTCAATAACTAGATGCTACAACGTAAGGCAAACGCTACTTCTGCATGAGCAACAAGTAATAATCATCAAAATAGATCACTAAGAAACATCGGCAGTTAAGAAAAGTTTTGACTGATAGACTTTTATATATATCTATATGGTTGCATAGAATAGACATTGTCCTATACTTAGTTCTTAGTCTTCAAGCTGATGGTTCTTGTAATTCTATCCTGTCCGTCGTATTCTGACACTTCATTATCAGAAGCTTTACACAAAACAAAAAGATGAAAGAGTTAAGATTTAGTTAATCTATGAAATATTATATTCTTACACCGAAAAATATTGATTTCTTCAAAAGACCGGTGTCAATAAAACACAAATTTCTTCATTAAAATTTTGTTTTAACATTTACATTTTTCGAAACGAATCTTTTTTTCTTCAAAAGTTTCTGCATTACTCATAATGTATCTGATAAAGAATTGAATTCTGCATAAAATAGTGAGAGTATCTAAATCTTGCATCTTTGACCGTCCTTCGTCAAGAAAAAAAGAATAAATACAAGATAATTTACTTGGGATTCACATATCACGTTTATGTCATCTCTTCAATCTGAAAAAAAAATGTGATTTCTAGGAAGACGCATAAGTTGGATCCCAAAAAGCCGCATTTTAGTGTCTCCATTGAAGACACTTGATGCGACTTTATCTGGTAGTCACTTTATAGCGTCTTTGCTCTAGTCACATTAAAGACACGTTAGTCGGATCCCATTTACTCGTACTTTAGCGATTATTTTGTGGTCGCTTTGATGTGTCTTCTGGAAAGTCACATTAAAAAATTTTTTCGTTCCTATCAAGAATTGACCTTGATCTATTCGCTTACCAGACGAATGTGTTCACTACTGAATCACACAAACACATCAAATATTAGTCTTATTGGTCTCTAACGTTGATGTTTCATGTGAGACATTAAAAACTCAAAGCAGAGACACATGAAGGGCGGGAAGATGTGACTACTAAGCGTCTTTCTCGTTCACACGTCTTCCATGCGACCCTAATGTGACTTCTATATATCTACTAGTACACACACTGAAGACATATGGAAGTCGCCTGTTATTTTGAGAACGCAATCTAGTCACATAAAAAACACTTTTTCTCGGTAGACACATCGCTGAAGTCACATTTTTTTTAAGAGTGTTGTTCACGATAAATTTCGTCCAGAATTGGTAATAAAAAAAAAAGCGTTGGGCCAGAGACACAGCAAAAAATTTTCTAGTGGGTCAAGGCTTAGATTGCATTGGTCCAAGGCCCAATACCCTTCTCCCGTAGTTGCGCCACTAAACTGAACCATCATGCCAATTGTACTGCTAACAGGTACATATTAATTATTCCCGAAAATACAAAAAAAGATTGTTTAACATAAACCTATCATGTCATCTCAATAGCGAGATTATTAAGATTCGCTGACATTTATGTTACTACGGAAGTTACTTTTCGTAAAAATATGTTATTGAATAGTAAACAAAGTGGAGTAGAAAGAGAAAAAGGAATCGGCTACCTTTTTCCTCTTTTTTTCTTTGTCACATGTGGGTTTTTTTTTCTTTAAACAGTTCTTTAAGAAAATTTAATAATTTACTAGAGTGATTAACTGCTAACTTGCATACACATCTTTGAGATGCTTAATAAACTACTTTTAAATAACTTTTCACTTTTCTTGTTAAAAATGAAAGTTCTCAATGTCAAACTATTAATCAAATTAAAAACTTTTTACATACCTCTCTTCTTCGTCATTACATAAGTCGTTCAATTATCATTTCTTGCTCAAACTATGTCTGACATAAAATAACGAAGAAAAAAAAAAAGTTTATATAGTACACGGAATCAGAGATTCATCCATTATATTAGTTTATTTTATCTCTTTTTTGATCGTTGTATGGCAGTAACCAATGAGCAAATAAATAAAAGCACACTTATGTATGTACAACACAATACGAGGAAAAAATGTTTTCTTTTTATATAGAATTTATCTTAAGAAATGTAAAAAAATGTACCTTTAAAATTAAAATAGCAAATACTGCTATTTTGAATGTAAGAAAAAAAAGTAAGTATAAAATAAATTTTTTTTGTATAACGGTTCAATTGAACAGTAGTAGACTTAACATATGAGAAAAATGATATTCTTAACAAACGTTTTTGTTCATAATATTCTTTTTATTGAATTTAACTGAACTAACAGATAATCTCCAATATCATCGTCTTCCTATAGTAGACACTATTCATATCTTCTATGACACATTTAAACTTTAGACTTTTTACTTATAATATTATCTACACTTTTTCCTATCTTCTTCAACTAATGATTTTTGAAATCATATTAATTCTTGTTTGATTATACTACAACAAATTTAAAAACTTTTTTATCTATTTTTCTAGAATATTAATCCAATCATGATATAGTTCATTAATCAAATCAAATGCAGAATGTGACTAAGAGCAAGATCAATGTTTCAAAAATTATTTCGTTTAAGAAAACATCGTTCATCATCATCAATATGTTTTCCTTACATATTCTATTTTCTTACTGTTTTACTGTTTATTGTGTGTCTATTCATTTCGGATCTTTTACCTAAACGAAGTCAGATATTTTTTGAAAATGTCTATGATACATTTAAACAGCTTACTTGGGAAAATATATTAACAGAAAAATATATTCGTGTACATTTTGTTCCGTTTTTATATGTCAATATTTGTAAAAATGATGATCAACTTCTAATTTACGTTCTATCAACATTAAAAAATAGTGAAAGGCGTAATCATATTCGTAAAACATGGGCAAATAAAAAATATCATTCAATGTTATCAAAAACATGTTTTATATTTATTGTTGGAACCCAAGCATCTGGAATGGATACTGAAAATTATCAAAAACATCTCAATAATGAGCAACAATTGTACAACGATATTGTTCAAATAAATCATCGTGAATCATATCAAAATGTTGTTTATAAAGAAATATCTGCTCTACAATGGTCTTATAAATATTATCGTTTTATACCATTTCTATTCAAAACTGATGATGATCTAATTATTGACAGTATTTTTCTTTCATCCATTGTTCATTCATTAATACGAAAAGATGTGAAGAATACATATGCAGATAAGAATCGACCTCATTTGATGTCAAGTTTAGTACCAATCAATCATAAAGCATTTTTTAAAGGATGGGGAATGGGTCAACAACCAACATTACGTGAAGGTAAATTTGGTATTAGTCTTAAAGTTTGGCCACATGAAATTCTACCACCATATTGTTCTGGTTTTGGATTTATTATGTCATCTGGTGTTCGCGATCGTCTCTATCGAGCGTCACTATTCTATAGAACTGAATATGTGGCATGGATTGGTGACGTATTTATATCGGGATTTTTAGCGAGAGTTGCTCAAGTACAATGTACAGAGTTTGGTATCGATTATGAACAAACAGGAAGTAAAAATTGTTCGTGTTTAATGAAAAAAAAATCAATGTTAACTGTATGTTCAACGGTGCTACATATGGGAATTGAAGAATATGATGAATACGAGAAAGCATGGAAATTTATTCTACAACGACATCAGCCAATAGCGGCAAATGAAACAGAAAATAAGGATGAAAAGTGTTGAATTATATTCTTTCATTATTGCCTATATTGTTTTTATTTATTTTTTGTTTACACTTATGTTGGAATTTGAAGGATTTTTAAACCTAATTTTGCAAAATAAAATCATAGAAAATGAACAGTTAAACGTTTTTTTCTTTTATTTACACACAATAAGAGTAAAGTAAGCAGATATATTATATTCCCCAGGTCAAATTCGCCTTATTGGATCCTGTAGGATACTTTTAGTTTCGGTGATTTTCGGAGTCCGGATGGCAGACTGGAATCGGCGATTTGAATACGTTCAGTTCTTTTGCTTCGCAATATCTGAATGCTGGGGAATCCGGAGATCAAATCCGATATCCGGAACCAGTCGGATCCGTTAACTTTCGGTCATCGCAAATCGACAGATTCTGTCGTGCGCGCTTTTTTATGTTTTTTTCTTTCTTTTCTATACGCAAAATATATTAGAGCTCTTCCATTCATCTTTCTTGATGTCGCATGCAGATTTTTGTATGTCAGACATGAAGACACGTACAAAAAGGAAAGGGTGATCTGCATGCGACATCAAGAAAAAGGTAAAGATACGATAGAAGAGAAAACTCTATTCACCGTTTTGTTTCGCGACAACAGTACTTTAAATATGACGTTGCAGAAAATAAAAACCAAGAAAACTTTCTTCTCAAGTTCTTAACAGTTTCAGTCATCGCTCACACTAGTTAATAATTCCGACATGTTCCGACGTCGGATTTGGTTGGATCTTTGAGGAACTTGTCTTCGGAGTCATCGGCCTCGGTACTCTCTAAAAAAAATCCGTAGCTTACAAAACGAATATCGGTTTTGGCATTTGCTCCTAATAGAAACCGATATCCGTATCGTACAGTCCTGCATAACCGTTTCGCAGAATACG